AAGTATACAAACGCTCATTTTGCAGGTGTGCAAGATGAGGGGTACAGATGTGGGGTATAATTCAGGGTTAAGCATACAAATGTTCATTAGACAGGTATGATGAGGTGTGCCCCCCCCGCTCCCCCCACAGGATCCCACTACTCCCTATCCCACCCCCTGCCCCCAGTGTTTGATGTTTCTAAGAAAATGGGGGGGAGTTAACCCCAGGCAGAAGAAGCCACAAACATTTCTTCGGTCACAGAGAGAGGTAGGTGAAGTGTTAAATGTTGGTTTACTGAGGTGAATAAGGCCTTTTCTATTGACTTTTTTAAAGAAAGACATGAGGGTTTACTAAGATTCTAAGAAACCACAAAAACAGAAAGCAGAAAACCTCTATGAATGAAGTTGCATGAGTCTACCTACCAATGACTGGTGCCAGAAGAACTTGAGGATATGGAGGAGATGAAAGTGGAAAAGGAGGAGGTGATTAGACACACTAATTACACAACATCACACAATCAGATATATTCCTTTTTGTTTGTTTATATATCAATATTTTTTATTTTGATATTATGGGGTACAGTTAAGGGTTATGAATACAAATATGCTTCAGTCAGGCACCCTTATTGATAAGGGGTGTCTCCCCGTCCCCAGACAGATATTGACTACCGTTAATCCCACCTCCCTTCCCCTCCCCGCCCCATAGTTTCCCACCACTGTCAGTCCTTTTTTTTACAGTATTATGGTGGATGTTCAAGTCTGCTAGATGAGTGAGAGCATGTGATACTCAGATCTTTGTTTCTGTGAGAGGTCACTCAGTATTATAGACTCTAGTTCCATCCAGAAATTCATGACTTTGTTCTTTTTCATGGCTGCGTAGTATTCCATTGTGTATATGTACCACATTTTTTTAATCCAGTCCTCTTTTGATGGACAGTATGGTTGATTCCAGGTACTTGCTATTGTGAACAATGCTGTGATAAACATACACGTGCAGGTATCTTTTTGGTAGAGTGATTTGAGTTCTGCAGGGTATATTACCAGTAGGGGGATTGCAGGATCATATAGGAGGTTGATATTTAGAGCTTTTAGGAATCACCACACTGTTTTCCACAGAGGTTGCACCAGTTTGCACTCCCACAACAGTGTAGAAGTGTTCCCCTTTTACCACACCCTCTCCAGCAACTGTTATTTTTTGAGTTATTGATAATTGCCATTCTGACTGGAGTTAGGTGGTATCTCAGTGTGGTTTTGATTTGCATCTCTCTGATGATTAGTGAGGTTGAACATTTCTTCATGTGTCTGTTGGCTGCTCGGATGTCTTCCTTTGTGAAGTGTCTGTTCATATCTTTTGCCCACTTTATAATGGGGTTGTTTGGCTTTTTTTTCTTTTCAGCACGTTTGAGTTCCTTGTAGATCCAAGATGTTAAGCCTTTGTCGGACCTGGAGTTGGCAAATACTTTTTCCCAGTCTGTGGGCTGTCTCCCTGCTCTCTTGATGGTTTCTTTGACTTTGCAGAAGCATGTCAGTTTAATGAGTTCCCACTTATCTGTCTTATCTCTTATGGCCTGTGGGTTTCAGGTTTTGTTCAGGAATTGGATGCCAGTTCCAATTTCCATAAGGGTGTGTCCTGCATTTTCTTAAGGTTCTTATGGTTTGAGGTTTTACATTTAGGTCTCTGATCCATTTAGAGTTAATTTTTGTGTATGGGGACATATATTTTTATATCTATAAGCCATCAACAGATTTAGAAATTAAATTAAACAAAGATACCAAATAGATATAACCTAGGAATACACTGAGCAAAGGAACGAACATCTTCCATAAAAAAAAAAATTATAAAGCCTGTTGATAACTATTAAAGAAGCTTTAAATAAATGAAAGTATCTCCTATTTTTAGAGGTTGGATAGAGTCAATGTGTTAAAAATGTCAGTTTTCTGAAACTGATGCATACATTTAATGTAATCCAATCAAAATCCCAATTAGTTTTTGATAGAAATTGTTAAATTAAATCTAAAATTTACAGAAAGCTGGGGAGGATAAAAGAATAGCTAAGGAAGTCTTAAAGCAGAAGCTCCAAGTGAGAAAACTCAACCTAATAAACATCAAGAATAAAACCACAATGATAAAGGCAGTAGAGCATAGGAACAGTAATATATAAATAGATCCATGGAAAAAACATATATGTACATAAACACACCGAGGTGATCCTGCAGAAGTCAAAGAATAGATTTTTCAGCCAATGGTGATGGAAAAATTGGGTATCTGTATAAAGATAAATGAATGGAGCTGGACATTTATCTCAATCCCAAAAATAGTCAAAAATCAACCCCAGCTGTATAAAAAAGCATAAGTGTAGGCCAGACTCAGTGGCTCAGCCTGTAATCCCAGCACTTTGGGAGGCTGAGATGAGTGGATTGCCTGAGCCCTCGGATTTGAGACCAGCCTGGGCACCTTGATGAGACCTCATCTATACAATAAATCAAAAATTAGCCAGGCGTGGTAGCGTGTGCCTATAGTTCTGGCTGCTTGAAAGGGTGAGGGCGGAAAGATCGCCAGACCCCAGCAGGTTGACACTGGCATGACTGTGAGTGTGCCACTGCACTTCAGCTTAGGCAACAGAGTGAGACTCCAACTAAAAAAAAAAAAGCATAAGTGTAATAAAATCACAAAACTTCTGGAATACTGTATACTATAGGAACACATCCTTAATGGTCTCAAAGTAGGGAATATTTTCTTATTCCTCTTAATCAGTAAGAAGTAGATTGATAAATATGGCTACATCAAAGCTGATACATTCAATTTGTCAAAATTAATCATAAATATAATTGTATATTTATACTATGTTCATACAAAATCCATTTTCCTAGCTGTGCTGATATATCCGAGAAAGGCTAGTATATAGAATTTATTTATTTATTTTTATTTTATTTTATTTTATTTTTTTTGAGTTGCAGTCTCATTCTGTCACCCAGACTAGAGTGCAGTGGCCGCTCCCGGCCACCACGGCCTCGACCTGCTGGGCTCCGGTGATCCTTCCACCTCAGCCTTCCAAGTAGCTGGAACTACAGGCACGCTCTACCACACCTGGCTAATTTTTTGATT